CCGCCGCCCGCCCCCAGCCCCGCCACCGTCCCGTGGCTTTCGGCAGTCGGCTCCAGGCACCCCGGGTGTTGCAGGCGCCTGTCGCAGGGACGGGTGCCTCCACCGCATCACCCTGGAGGTTGCCAGCCTCCATTGCTCCTTCCCAGGGAGCCCCGTCCCTGCCAGGCCCTGCAGAGCCATTACTCCATCACCATCCCACTGGCGAGCGTCACCTCCGGCTCTGCCTGGAGCGCTGGAGCATCCCGCTGACTCACCCGCGTTAATTTGCCCAACAGTCTCGGGGTGATTGCCGCAGATATGCCTGGGGACAGAGGCCGGAATCCCACCCAGGGGACACGGCCGCTGAGGGGTACGGCTCCGGCATGGCAAGGGCTGGCGAATGACTGCCATGCAGGGGTCCTGCCCGTTCTGCTCAGCGCTGGGGAGAAGCATCAGGCTTATTTAAAGCATGGGGAACCCCCAGGCTCTCCCAGTAAATGGAGGGCAGGAGACAGCAGGCAAACTGGGGCTCGCAGGGCCATGTAATGGGGGGTATTTAAGCAGCAGGAGGGTCTCCCCGGGGTTCTGGCTCTGCTGCTCATCACCCCAGTTACAGGCTGCTCCTGGAGGTGGCCCAGCTGAGCCGTGCCAGATTAACAACCCACTGCTCCAACCCTATCCCAAATTATTACAGAATGGACCAGGAGCAACAGAGGACCTTCCAGAGCCCTGACCCCCAGTCCTACATCACCTGGAAGATGCTTTTTTCCTCCATGCAAAGAAAGGAAGGAAAGAAGGGAAAAGGGGCTGAGGTCTGAGCCCAGAGCAGGTTCTGGAGAGCTTTCCCCCTGCCCGGTCCATGCAGGGATCGCACAGCGCAGCCGATGTCGTTCTGTTCCCCCAGCGCGGGCTTCACCTTCCTCCCACCAGCCTGGAGGAAAGGGACCACTTTGGAGGGACCGCCCATCCCCGCATCCCCGGGCCACCACCAGGGACAGGGAAAGGGGCAACCTGCCAATGCCATGGTGTTGCCTGGGTGGCCAAGGGTGCCGGGCGGTGCGGGAGGACACAGCGGATGCCAGGGTGGCATCGCTCTTCCCCATGTACCCATCATGACACAGCTGGAAGCATTTCCCTGGGCATATTCCCGCCCCGCGGGAGTCCTCGGCTGGTTGTTTCAGGAGCAGAGCGTGTGCGAGACCCCGAGGAGATGTCCCCCCACTCTGCCCTGACACCCCCAGCACCCGGGGCCGTAGCCGGGGCCACTTGCACGTGTGTTCCCTGGCACGTTTGTGTTTCCCTGCTCCCGCGGGAGCGACTGACACCCTTGGCACGCGCCTGGTCGCTGGCACCGTCCCCTGCCATCACGCCCCGGTGCATCAACAGCAGCGTGACACTCACGCGACCGCAGGGCTGGCACGCCGGGGCACCAACGAGCCACTGCCAGAGCGAGGAAGGGGGCCCATCCCCATCAGCTCCGCTTTCCTTGGGTTTTTACGTCCCCAATTTCCCACCCTGGCCTGGCCGGGCTGGAGGAGACGCCGAGTCGGGGTGCTGGCACCGCTCCCCACCAGGTCACCCGACAAGCTCCCAACATGCCCAGACAGCTGGGTGGTAAAAATACACTCCCTGGCCCGCTGTTTCGGCTGGATTAGCATCGCCTTCAACAACCCGCCTCAGCCAGGCGCCACAGGCAAAAACCCCAGACTGGGTAAACCCCCGAAGCGCAGGAGTTTGGGAGCGTGGGGCAGCTGGGATGGGGTACCACCGACACCGGGGAGCGCAAAACCCCCCCAGGGTGAGGAGGAAGGATGCTCCACGGCTGGCAGTGCCTCCTGGCCATGGGGCAAGGCCCTCCCCTCACCCCAAATCTCAGAAAGCATCTTTTTTTGTGTTGTTGCTTGGGTTTTTTTTATCGTGCCTTCCACCCCAAACCCTCACCCCTCTTTCGATTGAGTGGGTAAAACCCGCCGGAGGAGTTGACCAGGGTGGTGGCAGCTCTCCCCCCACCCTCCTCCCCGGCACAACCCGGCTAATGGCGTGTGGAAATTAATTCAGACGAGTGGGACGGAGCCACCGCAGCTGGG